ATGGTGGGGACGGCTGCCTGTCACAGCGATGAAGTATTGAAGTAAGCGGGGACTTGGCAGGCATGAGACGGAGGAACTTAAGGTTGAAGATAGGAGATAATTCGTAATCATGTTGTCTATACTGTCCTAAACTCCGAATGGCTGTGAAAAGTAACTATGAAAGGTTGCTCAGTCAAAGACATCAGTGGCATACCGCTCGTTGCGGATGTTGTTGAACCACTCCTCCGCCTCCTCTTCGGTCATCGGCTTTCCGTCGTCCTTCTCACTCTTCTCATGCGCAGCCTTCAGCACAATATCCCTAACGCCCTCGGCAACGTGGTTAGAGCCACAGACATAGACCCGAGCACCCTGATCCCAAAGGCTGTAGAGCATCTCCCTCTCCTTCCAGATGCGGTGCTGAACATACTTGCACCCGTCCGACGCCTCGGGCTTACGACTGTATGCCCGGTAGACCGTGAGCACTCCTGCCGCCTCCCATCTGTCAAACTCTTCGCGATACAAGTCGTCCGCGGCCGGGTCGCGGCACCCAAAGAACAGAATCGCGTGCGCTAAGGGCAATCCGTTGCCAATGAGGATTGCACGCTCCTGAAAGAAAGCACGGAAGGGTGCCAGACCTGTTCCCGCAGCGACACAGAGGAGGGGCGTCTTGTCCATGTTCGGGGGCAGCTTGAAGCCACCTTGCGCTGGGCGGACAGCAATCTGCACCTTATCGCCTGCCGTCAAAGAGGACAGGTAAGATGATGTGACACCGATGTGCCTGCCTTGACCTGAAAGTGCGGGCTCGTCCAAAACACCATAAGTGAGCGTGGCGACGCCAGGATCCGCCAGTGGGGACGACGATATCGAGCTTTGAGTACCTTGTGGTTAGCGTTGTGTCCTGAGAGGAGACATCGTGGTCTGTATACTTACTACTGACGAACCCGCATGGGCGGTAGCATGAGAAGAAAGTGATTGAAGGGAATCGTCAGCGTAGGGAAGCGCTCCGCAATATCAAGAACAGACAGTCGTTTGGTCTTAATCTCGGAGTCGTAGCTACCACCAGCAAGGTCTTGAAGCTTGTTGCGAATCTTTTCATCCTTGGCCAGCTGCGCTAGTCCCGAGATGTTTCTCTTAGTTGCAGTCTGACACAGCTCAACGTATGAGCTGAGCACGTCCGAGACGGGAATGCTGTTGTTGGTGGGCAGCGTAGTTGGACCCGAAGCTTGAATGGTGACGTGAGAGTCCCACGTCAGATGGAAGCGGCGCATTACTCTGGCGACTGTATCCTTGGGGTTGTGCGGAAGCACAGCCATGTAATCACCTGCAGAGTAGCGCATGTTTGTTGGCAATTGAATCTCCATATGCCTCTTCACAGGACCGACATTTCCTTGGACGAGAGGACGGGAGTCGAGGACAAGTGCGTCTCTGACATCCTGGCGAAGAGTTGACGTTCGGGGCGTTGAGAAGGAGACCGAAATACCCGCGTCAGAGAGGTTGCTGTCGTCTGCCTGAGTCTGGCCACCAAAGCGCTTCACCAGTGCGGGCCACAGCATGTCGTCTTCCCATGCCTCAAAGTCGGAAAACATGTCACGGTCCTTGGCATCAGTCGTACCGAGAGGAATCAGCTGAGCAGCACCGCGCTCAGCTAGCGATGAATCGATAAGCTTGGGAATGCGCTGGTGTGTCTTCACCCAATCGGCATGTCCTAGTGGCTATCAGCGAACGACTTTGCATATGAAATGGCAGGGGAGACTCACCACAACCGTAAACTGCGTATGAAACGTTCTTAAGCTCCTTTTCCTTCAGGTTGGTCAACCAGTCAACAAACAGTGCGGCATTGTGTGGCGGCTGTCCTTCGTAGGAGGATGTGACAATGACCACTGGACGATCAGTCGGGAGAGCCTCCCGGGCAGTGTCGAGAGAGTCGACTGTGGCACTGAAGCCGTGCGATTGAGCGTCACTGGCAAGTCGTTGAGCCATGAACTCGCAGGTACCCGAGTTCGATCCATAGAAAACAGCCAGATTGCCACCCTTCGATATGCCGTTGGCGCCATTGCTCTGAGATGGGGTCTTCTCGGCTTGGGTCTTTGCGGCAGCCTTCGCGCTGGCCCCCGTCGCGATGATAGAGCCCGCCAAGCGCGCTTCAAGAAGCGCAGGGGTGAGGCCTTCTCTCAAAATAGCGCGGATGTAGAAGTCTTTCGGCTTTATGGTAAGCGTCTGGGCGACCTTAAGATCGTAGTTGGGGTTGTGGGCGACAAAGTTGAAGTTCTGGAATAAGACGGCCAGAGCGAGCAGCATCTCTTGCCAAGCGAATGCACGGCCAATGCAACCACGCATACCGGTGCCGAAGGGGGCCCAGCAGTTAGGGAACTCCTTCATCCGGCGGTCAAAGTTCTCATCTAGCATCCTCTCGGGCTTGAACTCGTCGGCATCATCACCATAGACCGCCGGGTCGAAATGTGACTTGGCCAAGTTCGCAACGATCATCTCACCGGTTTTGACAGGGTACTTGCCGCCGATGATCTCATCCTTCATTGCTTCTCTTCCAAAGCCTGGGATAGGAGCACTGAAGCGAAGAGTTTCTCGAAGTACCTGAGCCGAGGTTAGTAGTGACATTAGGCAGGATGATTTTGAACTACTCACAGCAGACAAATATTTCAGCTTGCTCACATGCTCCAGACGAATGGGACCGTCTCCGACGACGCTATCCACCTCTTGCTGGACCTTACGGTACTCCTCCGGGCGCTTGATCATCCAATACATGGTGAAGGCGAAAGTAGCTGCAGTCGTCTCGTGGCCGGCGACGAGGAAAGTGATCAAGTTGTCAATGATGCTATCATCCGTCATCTTCCGGCCAGTGACAGGGTCGGTAGTGTTGAGCATAGCCGTCAGCAGATCTTTGCGTCCGTTCGCACCGGTTGGATCCGAACGACGGGTCTCCAAAACCTCTCTTGCTGTAGTGCGCAGCATGTTGATGTTCTGTTTGAACTTCTTGTCCTGCTTCTTGTAAAATACCTGAGGGAGCACACGGAGACCCTTGTCGCCAGCTTCCTTCAACACAGCATACATGGCAGTGATGAAGGGATGGGTTTCTTCGCGGTAATATGAGTTGAACCGGAAGCCCATGGAACATAACGCCACAGTGTCCATTGTGAGTCTCGTCATATCTTCGCCGATGGGAATGGGGGTTGAAGAACCGTGTCGGGCCCACTTCATGGCTAATTGTGCGGCAATATCGTGCATGTCGTCGAACATCCCTCTGATAGAAAGGGGGCCAAAGGCTGACATCAACACGCGATGGGCGACACCCCAGTTCTCTTCTTCCACCCCTTTGGACTACGCGAAGTTGTGTTAGAGACCACCTGAGAGTCAACTTTGTTTACACGGAGATTACTTACCGTAAACAAACCATCGTGTACTGCTTCTCGGAGAATCTACGGCAACTCTTTAGAAACGCCATTGAGCCGAGAAGGATGGCACCATTTACCTCCAAGTCGCCTTCTATGCTCTTCTTGAATCGCTTGTCGTCACAAATTTCGTTAACCAGAGCGTGCGTGTTAACCCAGACCAGCTTCTGTCCGAGAATGTCTACTCTGTAAATGGGGCCTGAATGAGAGTTAGCAGGGCGGGATGCAACGCTACTTAGTCAAGTGCAATTCAGAGTTGCCCACCATATTTGTTAGCGAGGTGGAGGAACGATCCCAACGGGTACTCCATGTCAATGTCGGTAACATTGCCGAGGAGCGGCACGCGGGGCGGCTCCGGGATCTCGACGGTCTTGGCCGCCATACTGAAACTCTTTCTCGAAGACCTCCGGGATAGACTGAACACTCTGCGTCGCTTCTCGGGTGTTGGGGGTTGTTTGCTCTCAAGGGTTGGTTGGGTTTCCGGCTTGGTGATGGACGACATGATGGGCCACGGGTTCCAGTGACGGACTTTGAATCATATATAGCGGTTTCAACTCGCAAGACACGGTTTCCTGGCCTTGGACTATTTGACGTCGAGATGAGGTCCCGCTTCCTCGCTCGGTGCGCAGGATCATAACGACCGTCGGAGTGACGGAGACGGAGCAGCGGGTAAGGAGTTATTCCTTCGGTGTCCTCGGGACAGAGTGTAATGTGGCTGAGGGAGCAGAGTTCAAGGCTGATGATATGAGGCCTCAGTTGTTTCTGAAGCAAAATCGCCAGGTTGCTGGGCTTCGTGTCTGAGGATCCGACCTATTCGTAATCTCGCCAGCGCCGCGGACGCCCGTGCCCGGGGTAAAGTGGAGCCCGATCCTGATTTGGGCCGTTAAGCGCCAGGCACTGGACCGGCCGCACCTCCGCGGCGTCCGTGCCCCACTCTTTGCGGCAGTGTAGATCCTCGACAAGAACTGCCACACGGCATCGCTCAGACCGGCTTGCAGCCGTTCGGGACCCTTGATTTCCGTTCTGATGACATATTTATTTCCTATGCCGTGACTGGAGGATTTGTTGACAGCCCTACTTAATCTCAACGACGTCTAGTCTTCCTGCAGCCAATCATTGTGGGCACATTACATGCGCCCAGCCTTGGCGAAAGGAAGGACCGGAGCAAGTCATCACAGTCTGGAATTGGGGTAAAGCGTGGATAGAGAGTAAATACAAGAAACACTGAAAATCGTTGCGGCAAAATGCAATCACATCGTAATATAATCCATCATTCGGGTGTTTGATTAGACGCTTGGATCGACCACAAAGACATCGCGACGCTGACTTACGTAAGGAGGACGATCAGAATGAACTCAAGTATAAATTGCAATGAAGCCATGAAGTCACAGATTTGGTCTGTTTTCAAGTTGAGATGAACACATTAGAAGTGATGTAAGTCCGGAAAACAGATCAAGAAGCTCAGACTTGATTATTGAGTGTATGAGTGTTGCGTTGGCTGATGCCACATATGATTGGCTTCCCCAATGCAGCAGCTGGGCTCAGGACCGCGTAGGACAAGAACTGGAATCAGTACAGTTGCGACGCGTCAGCTTCTTGCCCCTCCAAGTTGCATCACACTTGCAGTCCCAGCAATCCGAAATCGTGGTAGTAACAATCTCCTCCCTCGTAGTAACAGCTCATACCATCTTCAACAACGCAGACTTTCTGCGAAATAGTTAGAATTTAACGATTTCGACAGGAAGGACATTGATTTACCCTAGGAAAAAGGTCGTTGTGCGTAGCCAAAGACACATTTTCCGGGGAGGAGTCGAGGGGGGCAGCTGTCGCAACCGTGGCAGCCACAAGAAGCAGGACATATGCAAAGGCATTCATTTTCAGGGGTTGGAAACGAGTGAGTAGGCAATTTGACCTGGATGTAAAGTGCGTAATGGAATTAGGTCACTTGAGGTTTTCTGGCGATGAAGATGAAGTTTATATGGAATTTCCAAGGGCCTCTCAGCCAGATTATCTTCAGCCACAGACCGCGTTGAAATTTCTTCAAATAACCGACTTGTTGATTGCTTGTTGAAGTTATATGACCTCTTCTTGGCGCTTACAGTAGACGGACGGTAGGATAATATTGCTCGGAAAAGGAGAGCAATCGATTCGTGACCGATTTACATCGACCGTCTGCTAAAGCCTACACATTTGCCTGTCAGCCACATTAACTCGCTATAAGGGGGGTTGCAGATTGAGCTAGACTAATGAGCCTTGCACAAGAAGATGATGGATGGTTGCTGTGGTTGCGTTGGGTGCAATGGTCATGTAAGTTCAGGTACCTGCAATATTGCGACTATTTCAAGGCCGGCCTAGTCGCGGGCCTTGGAGGCCGTAGCTCTAGGCCTAGAGTCATGAGCATTTTCTTAGACAGTGTTCCACGTCCGGCTTATGTGATCTGCCAGCTTACATACTGTACCAACCGCAGTCTATTATCACTGTGTCCACAAATTTGAGTTTGTGTCATTTTGTTCGGCGGGTTGCAATTGAGCAGGAGCAATTAACTGTCTGGTATGGCTCAAAGCAGAAGCCTTCGGTCATGCCGAATGCATATTATCTGCTCCTATTTCCATTCAGCCAATACTCATGTGGACTACTAAACGGAGACGTTGTAAACATTGGTGAAGGATGAATAATCTACGGCTTGAGCCCGTTGATGAAAAAGCTTTACGATTGAGTTGAAGAGATTCTGGGTTGCTGGGAGCGATGTGCATCAGTCGATTCACTCTAACCACGACACCGTACAGTCGCCTGAGACTGCCAGGAATTGCGGTTGCTATCTCCCATAATTTTTCAACGATGCTTCGATTGTAAGCTCAGCTCATGGCTGTGTCCACCACCAGATCAGCGTGTCATATGAGTCACTCGAACTGATCTCTAGTAATTTGATAGACTTCGTTGAGGCATCATGGGTCATGATGAGTGTTTCAGAATTCTTTCACTTGTATGTACACCGAAGGTGATCAAATAAAGGGAAGCGCCGTGTGGCCGGGGCTCCGGTACATGATGAGCGGCGGCGGGGAGACCCTCGTCCGGCCGCCCGCCGGCCGCCCACTCCCGAAATACTCACGGCCCCATTTCATACTACCTATATCCCGATATGCCTCTGCGCGCTGTAAGGGCGCACAGAGGTTTGTGAAGCAGAAAACTGACGGCAAGCTATCTATAAAATGGGATGCTCCTTTGGGCGAACTGCTGGAACGGTGCTCCCGTTCTTCGTACCAGTCGAATTACTGTACATACAGATTCACCCAAAATGCAGTTTTCTTCCCTCGCAGCATCTTTCCTCATGCTCAGCTTCCCTCTAGCTGCCATCGCGCAGCAACGATGCAGTGTACCCTCACTCTCTTCAGACACCAACAAGGAGAACAGCGTCGCGGTGAATTTTGATGCCGCAACGAACAAATACTCTGCGTCTGTCCCGCCTGGCAACATGGAACTTATCATACCAAGCCTCAGCATCACCAACAACGGAGGGAAAAATCGGACCTTTTGCTTAGCCATCGATCCTTCGTCACCTAGGACTGTTGATTGTTTTGGGGTGGAGCCGAAGTCAACATGTACCATACCCGACTACCGCGGCGTCCCTTTCAGGCTTGACACATACCTGCGTTAAAGATACAACCAGATATTATAGTTTGCCTGTGCCGTTTGTATAAAGCCTTCGACTTGAAAGCAGAATATCAATCTACCATACAGGGCTTATCGTCCAGCCGTGGTTCAAACTCCAGTTCTCAGCGAAATGTGATATTATTTCTTTCAAAACCATCTCCCCCGGAACAACAACTTGATGCACTTATTGCTTTGACCAAGTATTGTCTGGTTGGATGACAAGTTAAACCAGACCAATTCCTTCTGAGTCAAGTGCGAGGTTCATCCCCTCGAAAGCGCTGAAGCAAGTTTTGACTCCAGAACTTTAGTACATATGTTTGTCCTCCAATTGACCGGCATTGTTCTGCAGTTCCCTCCTGGGCTGGAAGTAGTCTCCTAGACCCAGCAGAAAGAAACAGGGAAATATATCTTTTGGCTCGGCGATGCAAAAGCATTAAGGTCTGTCCTCGTCAAGAAATTTTCCCTATCCTCAAGCTTCCTGCGTTTGAGTGCAAACCCTCATCGTTCTCCTTCAGCTTAGGCTGTTGGTCTCACAGGACCAGCTAGCTGGTAAGGGTCACTATAGGCAGTAAATATCATATTATATTAACTATATTAGTAGTGATATATATATAGTTAACTGCGTTAGAGGTAGTAGCTATAATCGTAGCATTAATTATAGAGGGTGGTGCCTTATGTAATTGCTAATTATATAAGGCGCGCCCAGCTTAATTAATACTATAATAGGCTAGTGTTACTAATACTAGTAACTTTCTCTTTTTACTAGTATTAATATAGTTAATAGTAACTATAGTATAGTTTAAAAAGAAGTTATTAAACGATATATAATATGAAAAGTAGTAATTACTAGTAATTATAATAATTACTTATAACCCCTACTATAGTAGTTACTCCTAACTATTACTTAATCCTACCTTAGGCTAATACTAGCAATTAGTACTACTTAGGCCTATATAACTTATCCCTCTATTTATATTATTACTAAGTTTATATTAAGGAAGTGCGTGAGGTATTAGTTAGGCTTCACTTTAGTAAAGGTATTAATAAGGTTATTATTACTGTTAATCTATTATATTTTATATAGCTTATAGTGTTTATATAACTACTATAGAGCTATAATATTAATTATTAAATATTTCTCCTTTATAGAGCTTAGTTTAATAAGGTATTTATATAGTAAGTATAAGTTAGTATAGATAATAGTAGGTATTAGAGGTAGGTTAAGCTATTTAGTAATTATTTAGAGGGTTATAGAGATAGTATAGGCTATATTAATACTAGTAACTATACTATAAACCTTAGAAGCTAGTATATTTTAAGTAACTTACTTACTCTTTATTAAACTAAAGTAGATAATATTACTATTAATTATAAATTTATTCTTATTAGAAGGGGTTTTATTAGTAAGAATAATAGTGAAACTAAGCTATAATATAAAGTTAGTATTATTAGTAAATAAACTATTAATAAAGATAAGGAGTTTAGTAATTAATAAGTTAATAGGTATAAATATTAATCCTTATACTAGTAAATCTATCTACTATTATAGTTATATATTAAGGGCTTTAATATTATTAAGTGAGGGGTTTTAGTACTAAGTAGTAGTTAATAGATTATAGTATACCTTAGGTTAGTAGATTAATATAATATATATACTATATATATATTATTTAATATATTACTTCTTAATAATATTAGGGGTAGTGTTAGTATTAATAAGGGTAAGCTTCTTACTTTAGCCCTTCTAGTAGAAAATAATTATACCTAACTTATTAATACTAATAATACTATTATTAAATATTAGTAGTTAGTTAATAGTAAGTTATTACTTAGCTTTTACTATAAATAAGGCTTTAGTTAGAGCTTTATCTTTATAAGTTGAGAATTTAGTATTAGTAAGGCTTAAAGTGTTATTAATTTATATATTAATAACTATAAAGTTAGGGTTAACTATTAAAAGGACTAAAAGGTAGGGGTTATAGCTTAAAGTAACTATCTAGAGAACTTCTCTATAGTAATAGCTATATATAGCTTATTAGTAGGTGCTAGTTTTAGTAATACTATAGAGTAGCTTAATAACTCTTATAATAATACCTTTTAGGTATTAGTTATAAATCTAGATAGGTAAGTATATTAAGATTATTCTATTAAGCTTTATTACTAATTAGATATATACCTATATTATATTATAAAACTAGAGGATTTTATTAGAAAGTAGTAACTATAGTGTAATAGTAAGGATAAAGTATTAGCTTATATACTATATTATTAGTAACTATATTAAGATTACTTCTTTACTATTATTAGTATATCTTTAGATAATAAGGTAGGATTTCTTATAAGGCTTATTAGTATTCTTACTTTTAATCTTATTAACTATTTATAATTAGAAGATATAGATATTTATATACTTAATAGGGTTATATATAATTATCTTAAAGATATTTTAATTAATAAGTCCTTTAACTTTAGCTTTATTAGATTACTTAAAAGGGTAGCTAGGTGTATTAATCTTATCTACTTTATAGAACTATATAGCTAAGTTGAGGTTAGTATATTCCTTATTAGTTAAAAAGATTTTATTAGTAGTAAAGAATATAGTAGTAGTATTAATATTATTAACCTCTAGTGTGAAGTTAATACTAAGGGTAGGGTTAATATTAACTATCTTTACTATAAGTATCTATTTTTATAAACTTTAGTGTAGCTTACTTAAAGGTAGCTTTAGGTATTCTTCTCCCTTATAAGGTTAGCTATATTAGCGTAGTAGTAGTAGTACTAGTACTAGTAATCTTTCTTAGTCTTCTTTTATTAGTATTACTAATACTTTAGAAGTAATTAGTAGAGAGTTAGTATTAATAATATCTTTATTTAAGTTATTATAAAAAGGCTTAATATAGGTTAATTAAAATATTCTTAATCTATAAAGTAGGTTAAGTATATAATTCTCTCTATTAATAGAGAGAAGCTTATATAGACTAGCTTAGTTTTTATTCTTATACTATATAAGAATATCTAACTATAGTGGGAAGGTAAGTATTAATAATATATTTAAGTTATTATAGAGGGTAAAAGTATTAAAGACTTATTACTTAGTATATATATAGTAGAGTTTATTAGTAGCTTTTTATATAGCTTCTTAATACTTTATAATACTTAGAGATAGTACTAAATCCTTAGTTACTTAAGAGTAGGCACTAAAGATAAGTAGGGTTAGGATTAAACTATTAGGCCTAATAGTATTATTAATAGTCTTAATAGTTATCTATAAGGCTTACTTATAAGGGATAGAAGGGTTTTTAGTATAGATAATATTATAAGTATAGTATAAAGTAGTATAATAATATTTAACCTTACTAATACTATAGTAAGCCTTAATAGAGACTTCTTTAATAGTAATTACTAAGGTATAGGTAATATATTTAAATTTATAGCTATAGAAGTTAGTACTAGTATCTATAGTAATAAAGTTAGGAGAGCTTTAATAGATATTAATTTAGTATATATATAAAGCCTCCTAAATATACTAAATTAATAGATCTTTAAGGAAATAAGCTATATTAAAGCTAGTAGTATTATTAATAACGTAGAGCACTAGCTTATTACTATTAAGATATATAATATCTATAAAGATCTTATAGTTAAACTTATAGTTATTATATAAGGTAAATCTAAACCTTTTAGGTTAACTAGTATAGAGTTAATAGTATTAGTAGACCTTAGTTAGATAGGTAAGGAGGCCTTTATTAACCTTATACTTAGCTTTAGTAAGGATATATTAAAGTTTAGTAACTAATAAGTAGTTAAAATAGTAGTAGAGTTATTAAAGTTTAACCTTATTGAGGTAGTAATAGGTAACTAACTATTCCTATTAGAGAAGTATCTAGGGATACCTCTATTTATAAATAACTAGAACTTTAAGGTCTCTCTACTTTATAATATTATTAAGGTTATTAAATATAATTTCTATTTTATCTATATTATAAAGGTAGTATAAGAAGGGTATATTTATTAGTATAACATAGAAGGTAATAAGACTAAGTAGTATAGGGATTTTAATAGATCTTAAGGAGTAGATAAGGTTACTAAGGCTAAATCTAATAGTAGCTACTCTTATAATATTAACTTTAAGGTTTAGTATTAATTATTAAAGTATAAGAACTTAAGGCTAGCCTACTATTAAATATTTAGAGGTATTAGTATTAAGTAGAATACCTTAGAAGATTATTAATTTATATCTTCCTTTAAGAGAGAACTATAAAGTATATTTTTTAAACTTAACTATAGTATATAGATCCTACTTAGTAATAGCGTAGAAAGTAGCGTTATTACCTAATATACTAGTAACTTTAAAGCTATTAAAAGTAATACTAGTAAAGTAAGAAGTGAGAAATTATTAATTTTTATTATTTAAGCTATCTAACCTATACTAGCTATCTTTAGTATTAGAGTTATTAATATTAAGAGTACTAAAGTAGTTTAATATATCTTTATTATAGTTATTAATAGAAAGGTTATTAATACCCTTAACGCCTTTATACTATACTAGAAAGTAATTAAAGGTAGGGGTAGAGGTATCCTTATTAATATATATTTACTTAAAGTAGTTAAAAGCTTTATAGTGATTTTTAGTAAGGTACTTTATTAACTAGTAGCCTATCTTACTATAAATATAGTACTTCTTCTTAGATTTAGGAAGTATAAGTTAAGGGTAATATTAACTATAAAGTATATATAGGTAATAGCTAAATTAAGAGCTATAACTATAGCTATTATATTAATAATCAATCTAGTATTAGTTATTAATAGGAGCTAGATTTATTATAAAGTACTTATAAGCTTAGCTTTATATTATAATACTAATAGATAATTAAAGCTAATTAGTAATACTTTTATAGTCCTTAGTAGGGCTTATAAGAGTATAGTTATACTTAGGTATACCTTAGTAAGTACTAAGAACTTAATTATAAAAGGTATTATTAGAGTAATAGATAGTAGAGAAGG